AAGGAATTGCACCTCCTAGTAACCTGTCCATAGTATGTGAGACAAAGCCTCACCATTCCTGCCTTCAAATAATACTCTGGCTACATCATCTCCAAGACATTTCTGTTCATTCTTCTGGCTATCCATGGGATGTTCAGTGCTCTTCTCCATCATCACAGATCAAAGGTGTCAATTCTTTTTCTGTCATCCTTATTTATTGCCTAGGTCTCAGATGCATAGCTAGTAATCAGAAAGACTATTACCTGAATCAAACACACTTTAGTTCTCAAACTGACATCACTACTCCTCAATAATTTGGAAAAGTCCCTAACTGTAGATTTTCCCAGTGTTTTCCTTATTTCCTGACTGCTGGTACCAAGAGGTATCAATTGTGGATCCAAGCAAGATGAAGCTGTTGACAGTTTCAATCTCCTCTCTATTCATCATGACGATGACTATTGGTCCTGACCTTTGTGTTCTTGATATTGAGACACAATCCATACTGAAGATTGCATTCCTTGATCTTCTGCAACAAGTGCTTCAAGTTCTCCTCACTTTCAGCAAGCAAGGTTGTGTCATCTGCATAACACAGGTCATTGATGAGTCTCCCTCCAATCCTGATGCCACACTCCTCCTCACAGAGTCCAGCTTCTAAGATAATTTGCTCAGCATACAGACTGAACAGGTATGGAGAGTGAGTACAACCCTCATGCACTCCCTTCCCAATTCCAAACCATTCTGCGTTCCATGGGGAAAATATTTACAGGCTCTTGAGAAAGCCAGATGACTATCAGAAGATAGCCATCAGAAGATTATTTGGTCAAACTCGAATCAGTACTCTTGATTTTTTTTTTCAATCTTAATGTCTGTATAAGTGAGCTAATTAGTAAAAATAAACAACTTTGACATTGCAGTTGTCTCACATAAATAATATTTTTTTCCTATTCATGTCACAGTCAGCTTAGCTGAGTGGGAGACTCTGGCTCCACTAATTCATTCAGAACTCCTCCTTTCTGGCTGTGCCCTCCCTTACATCTTTGTTGTCTTTTAACAGACAGCTAGTAGATAAAGAAAGAGCTTGGCATAAGTGAGCAACTACTGTTAACTGTTTTGATGTGAAGGTATTAAAACAGCTTATCCCTGTACTCCATTAGTGAGAACTGGTCATGTGACCATATCTATATATGAAAAGGCTGGGAAATATAGACAAGGGTATACAGGAAAAAAAGAATAATGTCCGTGAGCCTTGAAAGTCTCTGTCTTTATGCTAATCTCTTTAGGCTGTAATATTCTAGTCTAACTACCTCCGTTTTCAATATCAAGACAAGATAGCCAAATTCTTTGGTCAGGAAATCCTCTTATCTGGACAGTACTAATGGTACCATATCAATTTTGTCTTAGTCTGCTGTTAGGGACCGCTCTAAAGTACTCAAGAGCAATGGTGTCTCTCTAGAGGCTAAGGTGTGTCTGATACAGGCCATCATCTTTGCAATCACTTGTTATGCATCAGAGAGTTGGACAATGACTAGGGAGGATAGAAGGAGAATTGGTGCCTTTGAGCTGTGGTGTTGGAGAAGAGTGTTGAATGTACCATGGACTGCCAAGAAAACAAACAGATTCATCCTAGAGAGGGTTAAACCAGGCTACTCCTTGGAGGCAAGGATTCTGGGCTTCTGACATACTTTGGACATGTTGTAAGGAGAGACAGGTCCTTGGAGAGGGACATCATGCTTGGTAGGGTGGAGGGACAGCACAGGAGGGGAAGACCCTCTATGAGGTGGATTGATTCAGTGACTGGGGTAATCGGGATGGGTGTGTCAGAGGCAATGCGATTGGCACAGGATAGAGCAGGGTTTAGGGCTGTTGTACATAGGGTCGCTATGAGTCACAAACGACTCTATGGCACATAACAACAACACAACAACATCTCCCTTAGTGGCACTTTTTTTCTTGCATCTGCTAATACTATCAGCTACAGTCATTGTGTGATACAAATAGTTCCTGCATGTGGCTGCAAATTGAAAGATTAGAGGTTAAAGTCCAGGAAAGATGTGATTATTTTTGGACATATCTCAAAACACAGGCATTGAAAACCCTATGGAGCATGATTCTATTAGACACATGGGTTCTCTTTGAGTTGGAGTCAATTCATTGCAACTGGATTTAACATCATTATTTAGTCTACTGCCAAGTCTCACTTTCAGTGCACAATTACCCTGCACTTTTACTTTTATCTTATTGGTTTCTACAGATCCTATTAGATTGGAATTTTAGAACAGAAATTTTTAGTGAAGAAATTAGAGAAAACAAAAATTCCCCATATAAAATGTCAACCTTGTTCTACTCTGCTAATGGGAAAGGAAAGGGGCCTTTCAATAACTCCATCGAGACACTGCAGCACGCTCTAGATTCCAGGTAACGTAGGTCGAGAGGAACGGGTGCTTGTCAGTAAGCACAAGGAAGACTTGTAGAACTGATGAGTGCACTTGACTGATTCCCCAAATGTCTGTTAAAAAATTTTCTTCTTTTTTTTTTAAGAATTTTCTCTTCTATGAAGCTAGATTTCTTTGCATATTTCCAAACTAGTTCTTAAATACTTACTCAACACATCTAGTAAGTATTTATTATATTAGGTGGCAGAAATATTCCCAACTCATTAGTAGCCAAAAGACCCCTTTGTACAACTCTGGGTCCCTTTGCCAGCTGTCAGTCTCATTTCCTATCTGAACAATTCAGAGCAAAGAGATGACATCCATACCCTGAACTTAATGAATGACTAAGTCCCCTTTATTATATGACATCAGTTCCATAAACGTTGTTGGTGACTTCTTCTTAAAAGGACTCATTACTCCTTACTTCAAGCTTTACAATGTCAGTAATTGTTTCTTTCAACTAACTGTTTTTAGTTTTGTGTGTTTTGTTTTCCTTTTACCCCCTTTTTAAATAATTTTAACAAAAGTTTGTAGAAAAAAAAATGGATTTTCATTCATTGTTGTACATTTTCCTCCCTACCCTCAAGTACACTTAAAAAAAATTCATTGTTTCATAAGTTTCTTCCTCCCCCGGCCCCATCCCACCCTAGTCCACTTTGCTATGCACTTCTTATCCTGGACTGTTGCATACACATAATACCTAATCACATATTCCTTTTAAACAATTCTTTCCTTCATCTGTTCCAATGTAGTGTTAATTATTTATCCCCTCTTTTCTCTGTTTCTTCCCAAAATATTACAAAACATGGGTGAACCTGGAGGACATTTTACTGAGTGAAATATTTCCATCACAAAAGGACAAATACTGCATCATACACCTGTTATAAAACACAATTCAGTGCTTTTGGATCCACTGCTAAAACTAGTGTAAAAGGGATGAAACCTCTAGTGCTAAGGACCGCAGATTTTAACCCTGACCTCCTGATTCCCAGCCAGTAGGAATAAGCCCTGTTCCTCACTAATTGCCTCTTGTTTCCCTGCACCTTCTGGACTGTTCTGATCAAATTAACAAGAATCAGAGTCCAGAGGCTTGTATGGGTTTTGAATTAGAAACAAAGTTATTGGCTAGAGCCAACAAAAGTGTAAAGTTATAAAATATGACAGTAGAGTTGGATTATTAGACATTTCTCAATTGTGCGTGAGATTTTTTTTTAATCTATCTGTGGTGGAAGATGCAGAATTGCACTTCCAGTTCAAGCTAAAGCAGGAAATACATATAGACAGAGTGCTCTATTCAAAGGATTGAGCGATATTGCACATATGGTGCTAGCAGGTTCTTTTCTAACAAACCCTGACTAAACCCATAGATGAGAAGCTGAAAAAAACCCCTGCTTTTGTAGGAGTATAAAAAAGTATAACACATATATGTTGTAAAACAATGTCTATGAACTTTGTGTGCAAACCAGTATAAAATTATTACCTAACTTGAGAGAGACATAAGAGCATTATGCTGAGTGAGTTAACTCAGTCCCACAAGGACAAATACTGTATAAAACCATTATTGTAGAATAAGTATGAGGATCCAAGGGGAGGCGGGGTAGTGGAAGCAGATGATGAAGATGTGAAGGGAGGATTAATCATGGGATTGTACGATTTGATGGGTGGGGGGAGTGAGGAAAATGGGAATGATCTGGTGTGAACAGCAACATATTTGAATTTTGCAAATAAATGAGCATGAAATTTTTTTAAATAAAATTTTTTAAAGTATATCACATAGATAGACAACTGATAAGACTCTGATACCTGATTTATGAGACAGTGAATATAGGCACTCTCTAAGTATACAAATTTGTCTCAGTGTCCAAGATAATTTATTATTACCATTGAGTCTTGATTCTCACCTTAGAAAATGTTTTTAAAAATTCAAATTATCTCAGGTCAACAGGTCCCAAATCTTCAGTTGATAAAATGAAAATCATATTTTCCAATTGTCATGAAACATAACAACTCTGGATCCCAATCTCATTCTACTCTTTTTGGCCCCTCTCCCAGTGAAAAATGCACATTCAATACATTCTACCTTAGGTAAAATTAATATCCATCTACAATTCTTCTTGTTAAAGGCCAATCATGTTGGTAGGCAGTGTGTGCGAATGAGCAAAAAGAGTGTTTTTCATAAGATTCAGAGGATTCAATATCTTTTCCCAGTGTTATGAAAATTTTAGGTCATAGATTAAAGGACTCCACGCTTTCTAGTTTCACTAGGTAATAAGGAAGCGGGAGTGGCATTCACTCCCTAAACAACATGTTTCTGGAAACTCTATGAACTTTGAGAAACGCTGATAGTTATAAAAAGGTTTCAGGTCTTTTGCTCATAGGGTTGCTATGAGTCGTGATTAACACGTTGCCACACACTTTAAATTGGCGACCGTGTTTAGACCATGCTTATAGCTGTCATTTGTGGCAACGTGTTAACTCAACGGCAATCAACAACAATAAAAAAGGAGAGAAGTGTTCAGTGGTGCCCACCCAAGATTTTATGACAGTATAAGATGATTCTAAGTTATCCTCCAAGTTTGAGGAAATTGTCTACTCATACTTTTTTAATTGTTTTATTCCTTCCAACTTCTTTACAAACATAGATCTTGTCTTGGGAATGACCTGCACATCGTGCCAAAATGGCAGGTATGGGAGTTCTACACAGGTTGGGAAGAGACAGGAAAGGCTAACACCAATGTCAAATGCTCAGTGGTAAGAACAGGACAATTGAAAGATCATTTTCCCAGTCCAAGGTTCCATTTCTTCTTATAATCTATTATCTCCAGATGAAGATGAAGATCTTGGGTTGGACAGCAAGGTTTACTCAGTATTCAGACTCCTGCTAAAGGGATGAAAGGTGGTGGACAAAGCCTGCAGGCTCAGGATGAGCACTGAAATGATTGGGGTCCATGAGATAAGATGGGTTGTTCTGGGGTCAGTAGGAATCTTATGAAGCATCAAGAAGGCCAGGCTACTGCTCTGTAAAGAGAAGAAGATACAGTAAGGATGGCAAAGTTAATTAAGGCATTGTTTCACTTAAACTCAAAGAGGCTAAAGAACCCTTCCAGGGCCTAAGACACTCCTAACATCCCATATAACATGGAGTCAAGTTAACAAACTAATACAGTGTTATTATTGTTAAGTTCTGTCAAGTTGCTTGCAACTCATAGTGACAACAGCTCTGAACCCTGCTCTGTCCTGAGCCAACCTCATCATCTCTGACATACCCACTCCCATTACCTCAGTCACTGAGCCAATTCATCTCATCCAAGATCTTCCTCTCTTGAGCTGTCTCTCCATCCTCCCAAGCAGGATGTCCCTCTCCAAGGACTGGTACATCCTTGCAACATGCCAAAATTACGTCAGATGATGCTTCAGAATATTTGCCTCCAAGGAATAGCCTGTTTTCAACCTCTCCGGGAAGAACCTGTTTATTTTCCTAGTGGTCCATGGTATATTCATTAGTCTTCTCCAGCACCATAACTCAAAGACATCAATTCTCATGTCACCCCTAATCATTGTCCAGCTTTCTGATGCATAGCAATTAATTGTGAAGACCATGGCCTAGACCAGGTGTACCTGTCTCCATAGTTATATCATTGCTCTTCAGTACTCTGGTGAGGTCTGTGACAGCAGATCTTCCTAATGCAATTTGTCTTTTAGTTTCCTGGTTGCTGGTACCAAGACTACTGATTGTGGAGACAAACAAACTGAAGTTGTTAACAATACCAATCTCTTCACCATCTATCAGGATGCTGCCAGTTGGCCCAGTGATGAGAATCTTTGTTTTCTTGATGCTGAGCTTTGATCCATGTCCTTGACCTTCTGCAGCATATGTCTCAGGTCCTCCTCAGTTTCAGCAAGCAAAGGTGTGTCATCTGCATAATGCAGGTTGTTGATGAGCCTTCCTCCAATCCTGACACCACATACCTCTTCATAGAGTCCAGTCTCCTAGTTGATCTGTTTAATACCTATTGAATTAGCTAGAAGTTGGCTTTCTTAGGCATTACATTAGCCCTTTCTGCGTTCCAGCTACCTTAACTACAGACATAGGGTTTGGAAAAATCATCAACAGCTGTGGGACTGGGTTAAGGATAATAAAGAGAGTGCTTCCCACATTGTGCAACAAGATTTGAGGGAGACTGGAGCACAGCCTTGTTGAAACCTAGATGCTGGTGGCAAGACTTTGATAATGGTGGTGGAGAAACTAAGGCATTGCTGTGGACAAACTGTATCAAGGTGTAACCGGAAGAGTCCAAGGCCACCTTTAAAGGTCTTTGCTTTTCTTGCCAGATGATGGAAGGAAAAGCTGACTGCTGAACTGAAACTGGAGTCTGGACTAATTGTGCCTTGGAACTGCTGGGCTAAAACCTGGGTTTGCATTGGGTAATATACTTTGCCTCTCCCATTTCCAACTTACTTTCCTAATAAAACCTATTCTCGATACCACAACTGTGGGTCACGACTGTAAGTCAACAACAAATAAATTTCTTGCTACTGATGAGGCTCTAGAGAGACCATAGGGCTGGGCTAAGACTCATCTGCTTTTTGCTCTGGTGTGGTGAGAGACTATACTATTTTCACTCCCTCTTATCCTTTCAGAGAAAGGTTCATGGCCCTGTGCTCCCATGTCCCATTTTCTGCTTTTTTGGTCATACCCCAGGGATTCTCCTACCAGATCTCATGTAAATTTCCAATAATATTTACACAAATCCATCAAAATAATTAAACTCATTAAAATAAAGGGAATAAATATTTCTGTGTTTTTACACACCAAAATGCTGATGTTTAAAGGAGTTAAGTGACTAAGACCACTGTTTAAATTTATGGCACCAAATCTCTCTTTCTTCTGTGCCCTAAGCTACATCTCATATTCGTTGTTCAGCTGTGATGTCTTACCTAATTTCAGAGCCAAGTAACTTGTCAGCTCTCACTCTGATTGTAAAACTGAGCTGCTGTTCAGTTGTCCTTTTGAGTCAGCCATTCATTTGCATTGTTGCTGTGTTGTTGTGTATCATAAAGTCGGTACCAACTCATAGTTGAAACTCCAGTGGATTTTCAAAGTCAGTAAATCACACCGAAGATTGACCATCTTTCCACAGAATTTTAACAACATGCCTTTGCTTGCCACTAAGCCACCAGAGCTCACTCACTTGCATTGCTTGCTCTAAATTGAGAGGGCAAGGATTCTCCTGCCCATCCCCGAAGAATTCTACACTTCAGGATAGCTATTGCAAATTCTCTGGTAAGACTCATGGACATGTCGAAAGAGTTCCCACTGCCACCCATCAGTCATGGATAACAGCTGCAGAACTTACCTGAGCAAATGATGGCCACATCTTCCTTGTGAGTGCAGTCGTGATATCCCCAGAACCTGTGTCTGCACTGATCCAGGGACTGTTCTCTTCCTGAGCAACGAACATCATCCAGCCAGATGCGGCCAGCCCCAGGACCAAAGCGTTTCCTGGTATTGAGGGGTTGAGAGAAAGGCTCCCCACAGCCCAATTGCTTGCATACCACCTGATCCTCCTTTCTTCCCCAGCCATCATCACAGACAGAGCCCCATATTCCGTCATGTAGCACAGCCAGTCTCCCAGAGCAGTGGCTATCTCCTCCTTCTAGCCTGAGCTGAAAAGGATCTGTGGGTGGAGGAGGAGATCAAGAGTTGAAAAATGACAGGGAAAGAAAAAAAGTAAGTTGATCAACGTCTTTACTCAGATACCTCATCAAATAGGAAACTCTCCACCTATGATTCAGCTCATTCTCTAGGTCTCCATCAGATTCCAAAGTGTGCAATCCAGTTTTCTGTCCTTAACAAAAATAATTTTATTTCTCATTTATTTTATAAACCTAATGCTTGTCAATTATATCCTAGTAGTTTGGGTTTGTTTTTGTTTTCGTTTTTTTTTAAAAAAATAAAATAACTTAAGCAATATGTGGAATGATTTACCTTCTTTTTATGTATCAATGCATTTTCTGAGAACTCTCCTGAAAGTCCAAGATTTGAAGCATGATAAAGTAGGAGGAAATGTGGGTGAAAACTGAAAATCACTATAAGAAAATTATGCTCACTGGTCTGGGAGATGCTAGTAGAACTTCCGAGATTTTGCCCTAAGTCATCCTTCAAGCTGGAAACTTAAATCACCCCTATACCTCAACGTTCAGCCAAACAATAGACAGGCTATAAAATGATGAACAACACAAGGGAGGAAAGTCTACCTCAAAACAATCAATCACAGAAGATTAAAAGAGTCGGCATTTACCCAGGAATAAAGCTCAGAAGTAGAAAGGGAAAGTCAACAAGGACAAATGAAAACAGGAAACCAAGGGAGGAAGTGGGAAGATTAATGTCACATTAGAATGATTATGATCCATGTCAGCAAAAAAACAAACCCCAAAACACAATTTGAATGGAAATCAAAATTTCTTTGTCAATTGTCACTCAAATCACAATAAAGTAGATATATATTTTTTTAAATGCTAAGAAAAGGAAGAGACAAAGTTCTCTATGTTTCTATGGTAGTGATGGTTGTTGTTATGTGCCATCGAGTCATTTGTGACTCACAGCAACATGAGCAAGCTCTATGTACATCTCTGAATGCTGCTCTATCCTGAGCCAACTTCACGGTCTCTGACACACCTACCTCCATTGTCCTGGTCACTGAGTCAATTCATCTCATCCTCTCTCTCTTGCACTGTCCCTCCACCCTCCCAAGCATGATGTCCCTGTCCAAGGACTGGTCCCTCCTCACAACATGCCCAAAGTATGTCACGTGGAGCTTTACTATCCTTGTTTCCAAGGAACAGCCTGGTTTCACCCTCTCCATGACAAACCTGTTTGTTCTCCTAGCAGTCCACAGTATATTCAACACTCTTCTCCAGCACCACAGCTCAAAGCTATCAACTCCCCTTCTATCATCCCTAGTCATTGTCCAGCACTCTGGTGCATAGCAAGTAATTGCAAAGACCATGGCCTGGATCCATATCTAGGGTTTCCAACACTGTAAATCCTTACAGAAGCAGGCAGCTCCAGTTTTTTACTGCAGAGAGCAACTTGTGAATTTCAACACCAGCCTTTTAGATGGAAGTTAAATTCTTAAATTATTCCATCATAATCCTTTACTGTAACAATGGTTGTGTAACACAGAGTCAGAACCGAACCATAGCTGACCCAACAGCAAGTTTTCAAAAGTTGTTCATCATACAGGAGGAGATTGTCCATCTTTTTTTCCTCAGAGCAGCTGGTGGATTTGAACTGCATAATAATTGGTATTGGGGTTTGGGGGTTTGAATGTGATTTTAATGAAAGTTTACAAGGAGATGGTTTTCATTCATTCATACATATACATTTTCTTCCTTCCCTATCCCCCAAATAACTTTGCAATGCTTTTTCTGTTTCAAGTTGTTAATTGTCATACATATAACATCTAATAATCTATTCCTCTCAGATTATCCTTCCTTTCACCTATTCCAGTGCAACAAAATGCTCCCTATGTATCCATTCTTCTCTTAATCTCCCTCTACCTCCCTACTGTATGCATTCTATTGTTATAACAATGATCTTATGCAGTATTTGTCCTTTTGTGACTGAGCTATTTCACTCAGCATTGTCTATTCCAGACAAATTTATTTTATCTAACTTATTGTGACAAGATTTGGAAAAACAGGATCAATGTTCTACACCATATGCAGTCCATTACAAATATTTTACAGTAAAGCAAAATTGAAAACATGCTTAATCACTAGGAACTGAGTCTAAGTTCTTATTTTGCATGTTTCCTCAATGAAATGTTCTCATGAAAAATAGGTAAAGAAATTGTATTTTATTCTGTTGCTGGAGTAAAATAAATACACCTGTAACCAAGTGAAAAAAGGAATATTGAAGATAAACACAATTAAGTAAATCTCCATATCTATACATAATTCTCTGTAAATTATGACTACCTGAAGTACCACTTAGTAAGTTTACAGCTAAATCTAGTCCCTGAACTCGTGGGCCTCACCTTCACACTGCACCCAAGTGTCTTCAGTATGGGTGCAGTTCTCCTCCTGAGGTATGGAAAGGCAGTCTTCAAGGGTTAGCTCTTTTCCTGAGCATAATACTCTGTTTGGCCAGATGGGTCCTCGGCCTTGAGTAGCTCTGTCACAGCATCCACGGGTCAAAATGGCCCGTCCACATCCCAGCTGTCGGCACACTACCTTGGCCTCCTGGAGGTTCCATCCTGCTTTGCACACGGAGCTCCACTGGCCCTGGTACTTCACCTCCACTCGACCCATGCAGCGTCCAAGGCCATCAGTCAACCGCACAGTCTCTGGAACTGGGGAAAAGAGGAAGTGTCTGTTCCCTGCAAAAGCAATCTTTTCTGAAAAGGGAGTTAGCATACACATCTTTACGCACTTGTTTTGTACAATATATGTTTGAGTGCATAACAACAATAATAACACTTAGCTCTTAATAATTTCTTATAGAGGTTTGTTGAATGAATAGATATATGAAACAATGAGTCAATTCTGAGTTGAGCTATAAATCATTTCCACATCATTTTTACTTTTTAAAATTATTCAAGCATTCAACTTTTCATTTGTATTTTACTAAAGGTGAGTGGAAATATTGTACAACTTTTTTAAAGTAAGATAAAAAAATTAAAGCACAGCGAAGGGCCGAAGGGAGCAGAAGAAGATGGAAATCGCTAGGACAGTGGAGATTAGAGGAGCAAAAAGAGGTGTGAGGGAATGGGAAGGGTGCAATGGAGCTTGATTAGGTGGGGGATGAAAGGCATGGATCACTAGTATATCATTATCTGAGGCACAATGTGTATGGATGCTTATATAAAACATAATGGAATGAATGAAACTAAATATACATGAATAATTTTATAGAATATAAAGTACATTTATGAAACGCAATGTGTAAATTATTGTATAAAATACAATATACCTTCATAAACACAATGTATGGATGAACTTGCTTAGCACTTCTTAAGCGGAAAAAACTGAATAATAAATTCAGTCCTTGAGTTGCAATACTTAAGGATACTGTGGGCAGAATGTTGACTGATCCAGAAAGCATCAAAAGAAGATGGAAGGAATACATAAAATCACTATAACAAGAAGAATTGTTTGACACAGAGACTTTTATAAATCAAAATATGATTGAGAGACAATGGTGATGAAGTAGGAAGTTTAAGTGTCTCTGAAGGAATTAGAAAAGAAAAAAAAAAGACCCCAAGAATTAATGAAATACCAATTGATATATTCCAACAAACCGATATGGCCTTAGGTGTGTTCATCAGGTTGTGCCAAGAAATCTGGAAAACAATTATCAGTTTTCATATTTATTCCCATTAAAAAAAATTGTGATCTGTCAAAACAGTGTGGGAATTACCATATAATATCAATAATAACACATGCAAGGAAAATCCTGCTGAAGATTATTCAAAAGCCACTGGAACAGAAAACTGCCAGATGAGCAAGGTTGGTTTAGAAGAGGCCATGGCACAAGGGACATTATAGCCAATGTTAGATGGATCTTAGCTGAAAGAAGAGAGTACCAAGGGAATGTATATCTGTGTTTCATTGACTATGAAGACATTTGACTATATGGATCACAACAGATTGTGACTAACCTTGAGAAGAATGGGAATCCCAGAAAATTTGATTGTGCTCATGCAAAACGTATATATGGACCAGGAAGCAGTCCTCAGAATGGAGCAAAGAGACACTGCATGGATCAAAATCAGGAAAGGTGTATATCAGGAATGTATCTTATCTCAATATCTTTTCAATTTACATGTGAAACAGGTCTTTTGGGAGGCTAGACTTTACAAGAAGGAATGTGGCATCAAGATTAGAGGAAGACTCATCAATTTATATGAGTTAACTTGCATATGACACAACTTTGCTTATTGAAAGTGAGGAGGAAATGAGGCATTTATCGCAGAAAGTCAAGGACTGCAATCTTCAATATGAATTGAAGCTCAATATCAAGAAAACAAAGATTCTCACCACCGGGCCAATTGGTTGCACCATGATAGGTGGAGAAGAGATTGAGATTGTTAACAATTTCAGCTGCTTCACTCCACAATCAACATTATTGGTACCAGCAGTACCAATAGATAAACTGCACTGGGAAAATCTGCTGTCAGAGACTTCTCCAGAGTACTGAGGAGCAATGATGCCACTCTACAAACTAAGGTGCAATTTTTCCAAGCCATGGTCTTTGCAACTGCTTGTTATGTTCCAAAATTCTTGCCTCTAAGGAGTAGCCTATTTTCACTTCTATGATAGATCTGTTTGGTCTATTGGCAGTCCACATTATGCTCAATACTCTTCTCTAGTACCACTATGCAAAGGTATCAATTCTTCTTCTATCATTAGTCATTGTCCAGTTCTCTTATGCATAGTAAGTAATTGCAAAGACCACGGCCTGAATCAGGCATGCCTTAGTCTCTGGACTGACATTGTTGTTCTTCAGTACTCTGGAGATGTCTCTGATAGCAGACTTTCCCAATACAATTAATACTTTGATTTCTTGACTGTTAGTGCCAAGAGTGTTGATTGTGGAACCACATAAGCTGAAGTTGTTAACAATCTCAATCTCTTCTCCACCTGTCATGATGCTGTCAATTGGCCAATTGATGAGAATCTCTGTTTTCTTGATGTTGAGCTTTAATCCATACTTAAGACTATAGTCCTTGACCTACAGTAAACGCCTCAAGTCCTCCTCAGTTTCAGCAAGCAGGGTTGTGTCATCTGCAGATTGTTGTTAAGTTTTTCTCCAATCCTGTTGCTGCATTCCTCCTTATAACGTCCAGTCTCTGAATGATCTGTTCCAAATATATATTGAAAAGGTATGGAGATAGGATGCATCCCTGACACACAGCTTTCCTGATCCTGAACCATGCAGTGTTTCCCTGCTCTGTTCGGACTACTATTTCTGATTCAATGTAGATTTCTCAAGAGCACAATTAAGTGTTTTGGGATTCCCATTCTCCTCAATGTAAGCTACAATTTGTTATGATTCACACAATCAAATGTCCTTGCATAGTCAATGAAATAGAAATAGATATTCCTCTGGTACTGTCTGCTTTTGACCAAGATCCATCTACCATTGGCTATGATGTCCCTAGTGCTATGGCCTCTTCTAAACCCAGCTTGCACGTCTAGTAATTCTCTGTTGATGTACTGTTTCAGTCATTTTGCTTAATGTCATTGTAGGTCATATGCAAAATGAATAATGCATATGGCCTACAAGGAATCATAGTAATGCACTTAAAGCAAAGTAAACTCTCATTGCCATCCAGCCAGAACTGAGTCATAGCTTATCCTCCAGCTTGTTTCCAAGGCTGGAAATGACACTAGAAGAGATTGATCGTTTTGCTCTACCTGGACTGTTAATAGATATGAACTGTCAGAGAAGCTTCAACTTTGGGACTGCAAAGAAACTCCTTATAAACTAGGTCACCAGAACTCTGATATGTCCAAAACCAAAGGCTTTTGCTGTCCATGTCAGTATAATAACCCAACTATCCCTAATTAGTGTTCCCAAACGTCAATGTTTATAAGAAATAGAAAAGAAGGCTCAGCATCAGACCACAAAGATTCAGTTATTGTTTCCACGGTAGCAAACTCTTATGGAGACAAAGAAAAAGAAGACAGAGCTTAGCCTCTCAGCCAAATCAGTCTAATGGGAGAAAAGTGTACAGTGACTGAGGAGTGGGGGGGGAATCATTAACACATAGAAAACAAATACGTTACAAAAGACAAGAGCACATGCACCCAATCCATGGCATTTTCAATTGCTTAATGTGCGTGTAGAAGTTAAACAATGACTAAAGTATCGTGCTTATGCAGAGCCTATACCTGGACCAGGAGGTCATTGTGTGAACAGAGCAGGGGAACACTGCATGGTTTAAAATTGAGAAGGGACTGTGTTGTATTATCTCTCCATACCTATTCAACCTGTATGCTGAGCAAATTATCCGAGAAGCTGGACATTATGAAGAGGAGTGTGGCATCAGGATTGGAGGGAGACTCATCAATAACCTGCATTATGCAAATTATACAACCTTGCTTGCTGAAAGTGAGGAGGACTTGAAGCCCTTGTTACAGAAGATCAAGAAATGCAGCCTTCGGTATGGATTGCATCTAGTATCAAGAAAACAAAGATTCTTACCTTTCCACCAATAGGCAGTGTCATGATGGATGGAGAGGAAATTAAAACTGTCAATAGCTTCATCTTGCTTGGATCCACAAATAACACCCTTTGGTACCGGCAATCAGCAAATAAGGAGGCACGTAGCACTGGGGAAATCTGCAGTTAGGAACCTCTCCAAATTATTGAGGAATAATGATGTCAGTTTGAGGTCTGAGGTGTGTCTGATTCGGGCCATGGTCTTTCTGATTACTTTGCTATGCATGTGGAAGCCAGACAATGTATAAGGATGACAGAAAAAGAACTGATGCCTTTGAGCTGTGGTGTTAGATAAGAGCACTGAACATCCCATGGATGGCCAAGAGAACAAACAGATACATCTTGGAGATGGTGCAGCCGGAATGCTATTTGGAGGCAAGAATGATGAAACTTCACCTCACGTGCTTTGGACACGTTGCTAGAAAGTGCTATTCCCCGGAGAATGATGCTGGGAAGGTTGGAGATTCATCAAAGGAGAGGAAGACCCTCAACCAGATGGATTAACATAATGACTGCTGCTATGGGCTCTTGTGTATCAGGAAATATGAGGATGGATCAAGGTAGAACAAGGTTCAGATCTTTTGTTCATAGAGTACCTAGCTATGAGTCATACTTGACTCTATGGTACCTAACAACAATAACAAAGTAGACTGAAGAAGTGATGTCTTTGAATTGTGGTTAGTAGAGACTTCCAAACAAATATGTCTTGGAAAAAATGCAACCAGTAAGCTCCTTAGAAGCAAGAGCTTTGTTCAAGATTTAGGGCACGTTACCAGGAGAAGCCAGATTCATCATTATGCTTGGGAAAGTCAAAGGACAGTGTAAGAAGAAGAGGAAGATCCTTGAGGAAATAAATTATATGATAACTGACTCAATGGGCTTAAGCACAGCAGAGCTGAGAAGGATGGTACAGGTCAGGCTGTATTCCACTTTGTTTTGCATAGATTCACTATGACTCAGAACTGAGTTGATGACACTGAACAATAATAAAAAACAAATACATGCAGGAGAGTAATGGAATATAAAAAAATATATGAGAATGTGCTGTAAGTTTCCAGTATCTCCTGTTTACTTGACCAGCTGGAGGACTCCTTGAGATATGAAACTACAGAACATGAATTCATTACACTTTATGAGCTTATTTCTTCCTCCCTACCTAGACCCTAACCCCAGATACAAAGCACAATATTTAACACACATTTAGTGATTGCTGGAGGGGCTGTGAATATGCGGTTTTGTTTTTTGTTTGTTTGTGTGTGTGTGTGTGTTTAGAAAAAAAAACAATTTCTCACAGATAGTGTAATTAAGGGGAAAGGATTAGCTCAAGCAAGTAGAGGGTAACAGTTCTGTTTAGGGATGTTTATCTTTAGGTTTGAGAAAGGATGAGATGTGAATGACACCAGTTATCCATTGAAATTTTTGTGAAACTCCATACTGGAAACTAAAGAAAAGTAAGAGCAGCCTCGTGGGCATCTGACCCGGGATCCCTGCCACACTTACGCTCACATGATGCTCCTGCATCTTCTTTATGGCTACAACTCCCGTAATCAGAGTCTTCTTTCTCACACTGAGCCAGTGTATCTTCCCTCCCATTGCAGTTGACATCTTGAATGAAGATGTTCTGGGTTTCTTCTGCCTGTGGCTTATATATAAAACCGCTGGGTGTTCCCTTAGCCGCTCCACAGCCCAGCTCCCGACACACCACAGCCACATCCTCCAGGTCCCAGCCATCATCACACACGGTGCCCCACTGACCGTTCTGCTCCACCTCCACGCGCCCTTCACAGCGGTGGGGCCCTCTCACCAGTTGCACTCTGTATGAAGACTCTGGAAAGAAATGCAGTATTAGCTGAAGACCTAGGATGGGGGACAAAACAGTACTTAGGTACATAATCAGTAGACTTCGGACTACTTCAGTCCAACACAGAAGGTGTGATGAGGATCTGCAAGACCTCAGCTCTGAATTTTTATTTGGCTATATTCTTAACTGCAAATTCCCTATCAACTTCATCTACAACACTTTGATATGACTGTGGACTTTCCACTTTGAAGATTAAATGAAAAATATTTGGTTAAATACCCAGCGGAATTCTCAGAATCTGGTCAGAAGTAAAAGGACCTATATAATACTCCCTCTATTTCACAAATAAATACGCAGTGAAATTAAGGTCCTCAGGTGATCCTGGAAATTAGTAGAAACCCCATGCAAGCCTGACAAAAATTACTTTATGTTCTTACCTCTTCATGATTTTGTCATTCTTTGTGGAAGCTAAATTAAGGAGGGACTGAGGCGTCATGTGTAATTTGGGCTCATAAACTGATCCACGGTGCACTAGTGGCTCTATTACTAACTGAAAAGCTAACAGTTCAAACCATTCACCAATTACACTGGGGCGGGGGAGGGGGGGGGCGAGATACAGTCATCTGTTTTGCTTCCTTAAAGTTTATTACCTTGGAAACCTGATGTGTAGTTCTACTCTGTTCTACAGTTTATCTGTGAGATGGAATTGACTTGATGAAAGTTAGTTGTTCTCTCCCCGCCCCCTCCATTCTCTCTCTCTCTCTCTCTCTCTCTCTCTCTCTGTCTCTTTCTCTGTGTGTGTGTGTGTGTGTGTGTGTGTGTGTGTGTGTGTAGTGTGTCATTTCCTGTGACATTTGTCCATGATCAAGCCTCTACCTCAGAAGAAATACAGAGAACATCAGGTATGGAAAAAAGTCAGCTTTGTAGTCTTGGGGTAGAAGAGGTATCATAGAGCTTTACATATGTTTTGAGAAATTTAGGACTTGGTTCTGTTTTCTGATTAAAACATGAAAGAAAACAATGCTAACAGAAATCTCTTCCTTCCACTAAGAACCATAAATAGATGTTAGAGTAAAAATAACAAAGAACAGAGATCTCATCAGGCTCCATTAGTTGAGCATATACTATGTTTAAGGTATTATTTTATTGATTTTTAGAATAGTGATGAGTAGGACAAGTAGTATTACTCCCTCTAAGGGTTTCTAAGGGTTTATATTTAGTAGACTGAAATAATGTCAAAACTCTTGCAGCCCTAGAATGTTAAAGACAGACAGAGGAATTCGTAATGCTCCACAGAATTGAATAATTGGCTGGATGGGATATTTAGCTGAGATAGTTCTGGTCCATTTAGATGATTCAGGTTTGGACTTGTGGTCTTTGGTATATTTAGACAAGAGCAACTTAACAGATAGATACCAATATGAACCACATAGAATAGTTCAGCTGTCTTTATGAGTGGAACAAGACTTCTGAGGACCAGATTTCCTAGTGCTTGCCTTGTCTCAACGCTGTACAAAGACAATGATCCCTACACTTGGAATAAACCCCAGAAGAAGTAGTTGAATGAGAGAAAAATCTGATCTGGCTGATACTAAATTATATTGTAAAGTTTATCTTTTATTTGTTAATTTGTTTTCTGTTTTTCTCTTTTTATTCCATCTTGTCATACTTGATTTTATCATATTTGATTTTGAGAAATAAAATCTTAGTTTTAAAATAACCTTCCTTTTAATGAGTTTTCCTTTTGTGTGGAATGGAATACTAGAAAAGCTCATGAAAAAGAAAAAATTAGATAGATAGATGATAGATAGATAGATAGATAGAAACATATAGAGATATAGATATATAAAGATAAATAAATAAAGAGTATATAAAAAAGAAATACAGTATGAGGCGAAAAAGAAATGCTATAAAAATATTTTAAAATCTGTAAAAGAGTCAAAGGGCTCATCAGGGTAACTGTGCCTCAGGTAGTGAAATTAACAGCCTTTGGTATTAAAGAGTTTGAAAAGTGGAACAAGGTCCAGAGGAAAAACATCTTAAGGTGTAGAAGAGTTATAAAAATATTAATTGACTCTCAGTACCAGCACCATAGAACAGCCCTGGAAGTCAGATTTTAAAGGTCAGATAACCTGATAGTTGAATTATGAACCCAGTGGAAGCTATAATTAAGAAATCAAATTGTATCCAGCAGACTTCAGGAGTATCCACATCTATAGCAGAGTTTGTACGTTCCTTTGTCTGACAAAGTCTCCACTCTCAAGAAAAAAAGTAGACCAGAGAAATATTGTAAAAGAGACTGCCACTGTATAAAGTACTATCATAATCTTCCCCTTCCATAGATTCATCATTCACTTTGTGAAGTCCAATCTATGCTCGGTTGTGCAGTTTGTACATTGTCTAAAGTCTCCTTGCAGAAGCAGCCAATGGAAGCGACATCCAGCTTTCTCTGCTAGTCCACCAATATGCTGCACAGAGACAGGTGAGTTTCTAATTAAAAAAAAAATGCCATTAATGATGAGAAGGCTTCCTGGATGATGTGCTGGTGTGCCCAGCAGGGCAAAAGGAAACTAATTTTCCAAATATGACCACAAAAGATGAAATGTGTGTGTGTGTGTGTGAGAGAGAGAGAGAGAGTTGTATTCTTGTGTATATTCAGACTCCTAATGAGTCCACAAGACAGAACAGAATTCCTCTTACTTAGCCTGAAATAAATTATTTGCTATTAAGAGATTCACCAAGCTTCTTGGCTCATGGAGGCCATGTGTTTCCTTGAACTCTTGAGGCCTGGAGTCTCTTTACAAAATAAAAAGAACAACAACAAAAACAGTGCCATCAAGTTGATTCTGACTCATAGTGACTCCGTGTGTTACAGAACTGCTCCCTGGAATTTCCTTAGCAATACTTTTCACAGAAGCAGTTCATGTAGGTTTTATTTCAGGTAAGTTAGTGCAAACTCTTTGATAGAAGAAGAACCGATGTCTTTGCATTGTGGTGCTAGAGAATAGTACTAAACATACCATGGACTGCTAAGAGAACAAACAGATCTGTCCTGGATAGGGTGAAACCAAACTGCTCCTTAGAGGCTAGGATTTTGAAGCTCCATCTCACATACTTTGGGCACATGGCCAGAAGGTACCAGTCCTTGGAGGGAGACATCATGCTTGGAATGGTGGAGGGGCAGCACAAGAGAGGAAGACACAGAATGAGGTGGATTGACTCAGAGACTGAGGTAATGGGGATAGGTGTTGCAGAGACAATGAAATTGGATCAAGATAGGGCAGGATTAAGAACTGTCGTACACAGGGTTTCCATGAGTCACAGGCAGCTCAATGGCACATAACAACATTTGTATCATCTCAGAACATTTTATTGTAGTACCTAAGACAAAATAAACATACACAGAAAGCTCATTGCTGTAGTGTCAGAACCAACTCGAAGCTAAGTCCCCATTTGATATCTAAGGTTGTAAGTCCTGGGAAGAGATTCCTCATGTTTTTTTTCCCATATAGCTGATGGTGGACTTGAACCACCAAAGAGGTAAGTCCATTGTGTTAGCAATGGAAATCTTTATGGACTATGCCACCAGAGCTCCCTAAATCACTATAGTTCCTTATAGTTCTAGAGTTATATATCTACACAAGACAAGACTGAATGAGTAGAATGGAAAATCAGAAAATAAGTCTCATGGTTAAGTTTTGAACCAAAGTACTGTCCGGATTTCCACATTTCCGAGCTTCCTTTCTCAAAAGCAAGCCCCTGCTTTCACCCCTCATAAGTAAACAAACAAACAAGCAAAATTAACTTACCTAAGAGTCCAGGTCCAGTGAAAATTACTGGGGGAAAAAGAAAGAGTGAATGAGGTCACATAGTCAATTTCCAAAGCTTTGTGGAACATAACTCTCTGGAAGGACATAATCCTTGTCAAACACTGTGAGACAGTTGGGGTCTGTCAAGATCTGAGATTGATCTTGTTGATGTTTTCTTTGCCTGGTATAACCAACTTCAATGGACACTTGGACTTTGGCTTGAAACCACAGAGACAATTCTACCACAGTTAACTGACATCACCCTGCATGCTGAACATGTCGTTATGGCTCTGTACCAAGTAGACCTAAATTTGGATTTCTAATCCATTCAATTTTATTGATTTCCTGTTGCTATCAGGAGTTAGAATGTGGTGAAGCAAGCAGCCCTCTAGAAGCACCAGAAAAGATTCTGAAGGCCAGTAAAAAGATATCCTGGCAAAGGGAGGTAGTACTATATTGAGAGTAGGACAGGGAGCAGGGGAAACGTCAGGACTGGCCTTGAGAACAGAATGTAGTGCTCACTGGCACTATGCTTAGTCAAGAGGCAGCATTCCCCGCCCTCCCCCCCCACCACCCCTTAAAATGTCAACTAGTAAATAAGTTGGGTTTTGTGGACCATATGGTCTCTTTTGTAACTACTCAACTCTGCCACTGCAGTTTAAAAATAGCTATGGGCAATATGTAAATGAATGGGCATGGTTGTGGTCCAGTAACCTTCCATTTTGTGTGACTTTCATCTGTTAAGATATATTCTTTTTATTTTTTTAACAATTTAAAAACGAACTAGCTTGTCAACCCCAGAGTTAGACAGTAAGTAGAAAAACAAACCTTCTCTCAGGTCCAGATCTCAAGACTTAAACATCAATATGAGGGTTTTTTTTCTAGAGAATTTCCTGGGATCATACTCATCTACCCATAAGATTCTCTCCTAAAGTTCTGGAGAGTTCTGAGTTCTGAGTTCCAGTAGTCCCATAACACTAGATATTTTCAACTGTAGAACTCCCTGTCAATTTAAAGTGTTTTTCTGAACGAACTCTTTTCTTTGAGGCTCTAGTCTAGTTTTTCAAGTAGATTGAAGTATCTCAGAAGTATCTCTAAAGTCTGGAAATACTTTCTTTTCTTGCTTTCCAAGGCATTCTTAAGTTGTCTTTACTTTTTAAGATGTATCCATACCTCAATTCAGTAAGATCTGGTTAGCAAATTGTGTCAAGCCCCAAATTCTATGCTACTTATATGAATCATTGTTATGACATTCCTTATCTAATAATGCACAAAAACATTTGCTCATTACAAAAAATATTTCATGTACACAATGTGAAAAGGATATAGTAAGTGACTCAGAAGCTTGCTTTTGTAGAGAGAATAACTGGAATGACACAGACCAGGAAGGCTCCCTGAGAAGCTAGGACTGAAGTGAGCTTGGCAGATTTAGTAACACATTTATGTCAGTTAGAGCTGACTTCTGTGAGCTTTATACACTCACTTCTCACTCATTGACATGGTAGATTTGAAAGATCAGGTCCTTATATGAAACTCAGTGTTATGTAAAAATTTGGGATGACTATATCAGATTACAAAATGGAAGATTTTACACCATTGCATAACTGCAAATTACACAGTTACTGAATTTTATTATTACATAAGTGCCAAATCACATCATTATATAACTTCCAACTCACTGAGAATCATAGCTCAGCCAAGCTGGCACATAACTTTAAACATCATGACTATCATTACTTTCACTTCACATCTTTTTACTGCCAGATGTTGATAATTAGTAAAATAGTATATATTTTCACTGTCAGAAAAGTGAAATGTTAAATAAGAAGACAGTAAAAAAATGAGATGTAGCTGATGAGGATAAGTCCAACACCTTACATAAAACTTGCAAGTGCCTAGTTGTGTGTGTTACTAAGGTAGAACCAAGACCTCACATAAATCACATAAGTGGCCAGTTCTGTGTGTTTATGTGCACATGTGTGTATATATGTGTATGTGTGCACATGTGTCTGTCAATGTGGGCATGTGTACATGTAAAAGAAAGAGATCAGTATTTCATTAAGACCATGAAAATGGAAGGTGTCTGATCAACAGCCCAGATCATCTACAAGTTGTTGTTGTTTGTTGTTAGATGCTGTCTTCAAGTAAGACATTAGAAAATAAAGACAACCAATACAGATGATGACCCTGGAACTGTACATTTCAAAAGAAATTATTTTTTCAAAAAAGGTAATTTAAACACTGACTATAGGAAAAATTGAAAGAAAATATTGAATAAAGTGACAGACAAGGACTTTCTAAAAATATGTAGAACTAGACATATGGTGATCTACACTCTCTTCACCGAAGGCACAAAACAAAAATAACAAATACAGAGGATACTTTTGGAAGCTTACACTTAAGCACAAAAGACAAAGAAGCACTTCAAGCACTGACTGAATGGAGACATTGGAGGAAAACATCAAATAAAGAGAAAAATGGAACACAGAGCCGTAAACAACTCAGAGTGGCCATTTTGAACAGCTGGGACATTTTCAACTCAATCTGGGAACTCAGGACTATGGCAGTATCCATGCCAGTGGCTCACTGAGGATGGAAAAGACAGCAGTGCTTGCTGTGTATGCAATTCCTATAGCTTCGCCCACGGGCAAGACTAAAGACCCACTTTAATCTGTTCCATCTGACCAGGAAAGATGGCCGCCACTCCTGGCTCAGTCGGCTCAGTTGTGCTGCAAAAACAGCAAACAGAAACTGCACACACATCGTCATCCTCGAACATAGACACCAGAAAACAGGAGGTGAAATATTAAGAATTACAAAACCAGCAAGTGAGGGGAACAAGAATTGACATTGCAGAACTTCTAAGTAGGGAGGAAGTCAAGCAGATTTTATGATAAAGTGGACTAATGTTTTAGATGTAGGAACAAAATAGTAACTTACAGGGTTAGCCCCAAGAAACATCAGAAATTTTCTCATCAAAATAAAAAATAGAAACTCTACAAGGATTTAGTGAACACCAAAACAGTAACAAGAAGATAATTCTTGGAAAGCAGGCAAAACAAATAATTAAAAACATCATAAAAAAACAGTGTCACAAATTATAGCAATAAAACCAAGAGAGATCAGTCCTTGGAGAAGGACATCATGCTTGGAAGGGTGGTTGGACAGTACAGGAGAGGGGCACTCTGGATGACATGGTGATACAGTCACTGGCATGATGAGGGTTAGTGTGTCTGAGTTAGTGAGGCTGGCTCAAGACAGGGAAGGGTTCAGAACTGCTCTTCATAAGGTTACTATACATCACAAGTGACTCAATGGCACATAACAACAGTAACAAACTATGACAAGTTTGGAAGTAGGTGTGGCAACCACTTCCTAAATAACATGCCTCAGGAAACCCTATGAACTTCGATAAATGTCGATAGTTGTAGAGGGGCTTCAGGCCTTTTGTTCACAGGGTCACTAAGAGTCGTGCTCAACCCTAAGGCAATCAACAACAACAACATCAATAATTATACTTAATGTAAATGGATTAAGTATACCAGTAAAAAGAAAAAGAGCCATATAATGGATAAGAAAACATACTTCATCTGTAAGGGACACACGATAAAAACAAGACTAAAAAGCAAAGAGTGGGGAAAAAAACCTATGGTGACAATGAATCTTAGTTGAGTCTATGACACCTAACAACAACAAATTTTACAATTTAAAACATGGAGCAAATGGACAAACTTTTAGAAACTCAGTACCAAAACTAAGATAGATAGAGGTTGAAAATTTGAGCAGATAAAAGAAAAAAAGAGTATCTTACAAATACTCTCAACCAAAAAAAAAATCTAGTCCAGATGGCTTCACCAGTGAATTTTAACAAACACTCAAAGAACTGACACTAGTTCTACTTAAACTATTTCAAAATATAGAAAAATGTGTAATACTCTTAAACTTATTTTATGAAACAAATATAACCCTTATACCAAATACAGGAGGCAAAGTTGTTGTGAAGATATTATTGAAAAGATAGTTTTATAGATCAATAGCCTTCACAAATATGTGGTGGTTGTTATTATGTGCCATTGAATTGCCTGCAACCCATGTGACCATATGTACAACAGCCCTAATTCCTACTTTATCCTACACCAATTTTATTGTCTCGGATACACCTACCCTCATTACCCCAGTCACTGAATCAATTCATCTCATTGAGGATCTTCCTCTCCTGTGCTGTCCCTCCACCCTCCCAAGCATGACATCCCTCTCCAAGGACTGGTCCCTCCTTGTAACATATCCAAAATATGTTAGATGAAGCTTCAGAATCCTTGCCACCAAGGAGCAGCCTGGTTTAATTCTCTCTGGATGAATCTTTTAGTTCTCTTAGTAGTCCATGGTATATTCAATACTCTTCTCCAACACCACAGTTCAAAGGCATCAATTCTCCTTCTATCATCCCTAATCATTGTCCAGCTCTCTGATGCATACTGTATCATGTGCTGTATCATATGCTGTATCATGCACACCTTAGTCTCCAGAATGACATCATTGCTCTTCAGTCCTCTGGAGAGGTCTCTAACAGCAGACTTTCTTAATGCAATACGTCTTTTAATTTCCTGGCTGCTGGTGCCAAGAGTGTTGATTGTGAAGTTAAGCAAACTAAAGCTGTTTACAATCTCAATCTCATCACCATCCATCATGATGCTGCCATTTGGCCCAGTGGTGAGAATCTTTGTTTTCTTAGTATTGAGCTTCGATCCATATTGTAGGCTGGAGTCCTTGACTTACTGTAGCAAGCGCTTCAGGTCCTCCTCAGTTTCACCAAGCAGGGTTGTGTCATCTGCATAATGTAGATTGTTGATGAGTCTTCCTCCAATCCTGATGCCACATTTCTCCTCATAGAACCTAGCCTTCCAGATAATATGCTCTGCATATAGATTGAAAAGGTATGAAGATACGATACATCTCGGAAATACACCCTTCCCAATTCTGAACCATGCAATGTTCCCTTGCTCTTTTCTGACAGCTGCGTTCTGGTCCAAGTATAGGTTTCACATAAGCACAAACATATGTTCTGGGATTCCCATTCATCTCGGAGTTAGCCAGTTTGTTGTGGTCTATACAGTCAAACCCCACTGTATAGTCAATCAAACACAGATAGACATTCCTCTGGTCTTTCCTGCTTTCAGCCAAGATCCATCTAGCCTTAACTATGATATCCCTAGTACCACAGCCTCTTCTAAACCCAGGCTGCACTTCTGGTAGTTTACTGTTGATGTGCTGTTCCAGT